AAGCAGAGCTGAGGGTGAGTGCTCTTCAGACTGTTTCCTCCAAAGGATGTTGAGTCAGTGTGAGCATAATGGTGGCACTTGTACCTGTGAACACTTAAAAAACCCCAAACACCACAGTGCAGAATGAGATTGTTGATTCTTCAATGGCCAGCTATTGCTCCAAATATCAAGTCTTCATCACTCACCATGGAACTCAGAGTTTTCTTGGACTTTTGGCTTCTTATACTTCAAATAGCAATTAGCCTTTGTGGGATGGGGGGACCATGGTAAATCAATTTAGGAAAGCTTTATCACAGTGTGGGAGTGTGATGGTGGGAGAGAGGGCAACTGAAGGTTGTTGGATTAAAAAAAAAAAAATATATATATAGGCCTGGTGTCCAGCATAACTCAGTCTGACTCCTTGAGTTGTGGAGTCATTAATTTAGGTATTGCAGTGAAGAAGGTTAACGTTAAAGTTGTCAACTTTCAGAAACTTTTTTAATTATTAAAAGAAAGAAAAGAAGTAGTGCAAAGAGAAGAAAAAGGGTTGGAAAAGTAGCGATACTGCAGGAAAGACATTCATGTAAAAAATGAAAACAGAATCAATTTGGTCGTTGTACGGATGTACCAAAGATAAATCTCCTGACAGAAGGAAGTGCCGGGATAGGAATGCAATATTTCAGCAGGCCTATCATTCCAGGAGATTATAGCAGAAGTCTTTCCTTGCAGGAAAGCAGCTCACCTTGGCTCGTGTCTGGTGGCACTTGCAAAGAAAACTCTTGAGCATGTGAAAAATGAGAGTGCACTCACAGGTCTGTGCAGGTGCTTTACTTCTGTCTCGTCCCCCTGAAATTCTCATCAGGAAAATCCCCAGTTAAAGGGAAATACAGGGACACTGATGAAAGAGTGAGTTGATGAGGTCATAAAAACTCTTGACTTCCAAGACGAGCTGAAATTAGGACCCGTCTTGAATTGCCTCTCTGGAAGGGCAGTAATTCCATGGTGCTACAGATAAAACTTGGCTATGCAGCTATCGGTGTAAGTTGTGTTGTGGCAGGGGCTGTGTTTGGGATTTCTCCCAAGCCTGGGTGACTGGAGTCTGAACTCCAGGAGAGCAAAGCAATTAGCAATGTTTGACATGAAGTTCACAACCAAGGCAGCAGAATGCCACCAGCAGTGTATGTGCAAACTGGATAGGTCTTGCTGTTTACAGCTGGTGATAATAAACCTTCTGGTTTCCTGGCTTCAAACTAGTGACAGATTGAACTGGAAGGAGATTTGGAAGGATAATGGTGCAAATGATGTTGTAAAGGTTCCTCTCAGCTAGGTGGGTATGGCACTGAGCAACCAGGTCCTTCCTGAGGTCTGGACAGTGCAAGTGTCAGGCAAGGCGCACAGAAGATTAGGTCAAAGTCTGAAGCAGAAACAGTCTCTTGACTTTGTAGATTCATATTGCTCTTGTAGAGGCCAGAGTTAATTTCCGGAGAGTTAAAGCTTCCTGGGTTGTGTGCAATGACCTGTTTGGTCTCTCTCCAGGTTCCTAGGGGACAAACACATCTTCATCTCATGCTCAGCCCCCTTGATCCAAAATAATACAATTGCACAGTGCTGGCTGGCAGTTTAATTGTAACAGTTGTGGATTGGGTGTGTATAAAATACCCCCCCCTTCCCAAAAATTTCCTTGGAGGGAACAGCTTGGTCTTTGTGAGGAGCTGAGAAGGCATCCGACTCTGACACCGTTGCCTTACGGGACCTCACTCAGCCTAGGTTGCATAAAAGGGCTTTATAGGATTATAAAGGTTCCATGCAGCGGCAGCTCCAAGGCAGCATTTCAGGTGGGGGCACTGGCTCTCCCTGGCTCTGCCTGTGCTTGTTTATTATTGATGCCACGCTCTGAAAAATGCCACCTCACCCTTCTTCCTGGGGCTGCTGGCACGTGTGTGCAGAGCTAGGGCTGCTGCATCAGTCCACCCCCCTGCTGAAATGGGCACGCATCCAGCGCTGGGGAGGGAAAAACGTATGTGTGCGTGCACGTGTGCTGCTTTTGCTCATGGAGGTCTTCACCTGGAAGAGCTTCATTGCTTGTTGGCTAGGAGAAGCCCCTTTCCCCTAAATTTACTCCTTGGAGAGGAAGAGAGAGAGAGAGGTTCCGGAGATGCTTTCCTAATTCCCTTGCTTCGCTCTGATTCAGACCAGCGTGAAAGCCAGTGAAATTAGTCCGAGCAACAAGCCAGGCAATGATGGACGTGTCTCTGTTCAGCATATTGCGTGACTTGTTTTTTACCGGTTTGGATTTTCATGTCCACTTTCCTCTAATGGGTGAGGACAGGGCAGAGCTGGGTCAGGAAACAGGAGGTGGAGAAAGGTGGTGTTCTGCCTTTGCTATAAGAACATCGTGTTGGTGTCTTGTCTTCGGGTTGTTTTCTCAGGAAGGGGGGAAGTGGGTGTCTGCGTGCTGGCCCAGCTTTCTCAGCTCACCGTGGCCATTACCCACGTGTCGCAGATACCGGAGCTGGTGAACTTCTACCTAAGCCTGTTGTACTGAGCAGTGAAAATGGACATTGCTGACAAATGGTCCTTTAATGCTTCAATTTTTGATTGTTTCCCATGACTTTCCATCCACTAGTTCTAAGTGGCTGCAAGAAGACTGTCTTCTGGCTTTGTGCAGCACCATGAATCCTATTTTCTACCTTCCGCCTACCCCTGGCTTTTTATTGTGTTTTTATTTAGGTGACTCTTATTGGGGCTCACTTTGGAGATGCATGCAATTGGGCTGTGCTATCAGCAACTACACCTTGAAGTATCTCAAAGCCAAGCAACTAAGGGGGAGGAGGGTGGGGAAGGGGTTGAAAATCGCCAATTGCTCCGCAAAAATCTTGGCTGTAGGATCAATTCCTGTATCCCTCCTCACTGCGATAGCCATCTGCTACATGATACTCGGAGCTTATGTTTTCCAGCATGTTTAGCTGAACAGTACTTGCTCAGTCAGAAAGGTAAACTGGAGAGGGGGAGCTGTAGAAAATGCTTTCATGCCTCCCTCTCGCTCCTTTGTCATATGAGGATATCTCTTGCATCAGCTGTGAAAGCTTGCAGGAATGAACCTTCAGAGCAGAAGTATTGATGAAGGCCAGGAACAAATGTCCTGGAGATTTTCTTTACTCCTGTGAAGCTCTGACCAAGCCACCTTTCTCATGAACAAGCCTGCTTGGGGCTTCAGTTGATGAGGCACCAGGGCTGGGTGACGTCCTGTCTCCTCGGGGAGCAGTCAAGCCTGAGTCCGCGCTCTGTCCCAGTCCAGACAGAGCAAAAACGTAAGGGTTAACATTTGTCAGTGCTTCAGATGGAGCTTGCTGTTTGGCCTTTTAAATATTTTTATCATTTTAGGGGAGCAGAATTTGGGGAAAAAGTTGTTTTGGTTTTCTTTTTAAACTTACAGTGATTACGCTAGCTTTCCATTTTCCCACAAATCACTGTGACTTCACTTTTACTACTGCAGGTTTTATTTTCTTGAAATCCTAATACTTTTGAAGGTAACTGAAGGAAAACATTTCCCTGCCCATAGCTGTTCTCCTAAAAGAAAAAAAAAAAACCAAAAACAAACAACAAAAAGCAACCAAACCCAGCAATTTTTTTTCCTCATCTCTTTAAATCATCAGTAATGACTGGATCTGTATGGGATGTTTCTGGCTGTGACTCAGGTCAGGATTTTGTGCCCATTGTGCAAGGAGGTTTGGGAGTTAAAGCATCCTAGCTGCTTGCCCTCTTGGGACTGTGCTCCTGGCACAACGCATCCCACTGATTAGAGAGAAATCCTCATTAAAAAAAGAAACAACAAACCACTGCTCCTGTCGGACAGGTGGGGTTTTAAAGGGTTTCCAGGATCCATCTGCATTCAGCAAAGGGGTGAGCGTGTGCTCCCCTCCTGTGCCCTCCACCCCATTTACCCCAGTGGTCCTGCGCTGATGGGGATGTCTGAGCCTGTGACCCATCCTTGCCTGTGCAGGATTGCAATGTTCCAGCGTGTTTTCAGTTCTGGCTTTAAGCAATTCTTCCTTTTTGGCTGGAGAAACTTGTCTTCAGGTCCCTCGAAACCCTACATAGTGATTCCCATTGACTGCGTGGACTGGCACCTGGCCGGAAAAGGGCAGAGCCAGGAGAGTGGGGTGCGGGCAGCCTGGCCAACAAACTGCTCATGAGCCCAGCAGATGTTCTTGCAGCCTCTCTGCTCCCCGGGGCCGATGCCAGCCTGGTCCTTTTCCAGCAGCTCGTCACTTGACACCGGGAACAGTACGCTGGCTTCTTTTGTTGCACATTGTAGAGTCAAGGACCTTGTGCTCGGAGAAGGCAGGGGAGGGGAGAAGGCAATGGGACACGTATCTCTTCAGGTCATTTTTTAGGTTTGGAGCTTGTTCTCCCTTGTAAAAGCTTTTGGCAGTGCTGCCTGAAAAGTGTATCCTGCTCTCAAGCCTCAGGCTGTGGCTCACTAGGTTTTATGTAAGGATCTCTTCTGCTGAGGGGAGGGTGGCTGTACGTGCTTTCTTGGTGTGTCTCCTGGGGTCTGGTGGGACAAATCACCCTCTGCTTGATGTGCTAAAATGTTTTGTTTTGCTGTGGGTTTTGTTTTGTTTTGTTTATGCACAGGAGAGTGACTGTAGTGCTCTTGTGTTTTTGCTAGTTTCCCAAGTTCATGCAGTTAGGCACCTTCAATCATTCCTTCCCTACTTCAGTTTTCAGCACAGTCCTGTGGCGGAGATTGCCAAGGTCTCACGTCCAAACAAGCTCTGTGAGAGCTGGTGGAGAACATAAATCCAAATATTGCTTCTTACCCTTCTCTTCTTGCTCCCACCTTGCACACACACAAGGCAGAGAGCCTTGCTGTAAAATCACTCCTTGCCCAGGCATCGGCAAGTCCGCATGGGTGCTCAGCCAGGCAGAGACTGATCCCACCATGGCCCCATTTCAACCATGGGCTGTATCTCTCTGTCCTCACCACTGTGCCCCTCTCTTCCTCCGCAGGCTGACGGGGAACGAACCCCTGACCATCCTCCCTCTGACCTCAGAAATGGAGGAAGCTGCCGTCAAAGCCCACTACAAAGTCTGTGACCGCCTGAAGCTGGAGAAGAAGCAGCGCAGGATGTGCCGGCGGGACCCCGGCGTGGCTGAGACCCTGATGGAAGCGATCAGCATGAGCGCGCTGGAGTGCCAGTATCAGTTTCGCTTTGAGCGCTGGAACTGCACTCTCGAGGGTCGCTACCGGGCCAGCTTGCTGAAGAGAGGTGAGCGGAGCTGGGGGGGTCTTGGTCAGGGGTGCTGGTACCCCTGCACCCATCGGTTTCCCTGGCATTTTGCAGAGTGGTCATCTTGGTGCATACTTTGCCAGTGGCGGGTCACCACCTCCCCAGAGGTCCAAAAAGAGCTCATAGAAGGTAAAGACAAAGCCAGGCTCAGCTCACCCATGAAAGCGCACAGCAGGCAAAGGATGTGCCATATGGCAGTAATTTAGGTGCTTGTTCTAGCAAAGCAACCCCTGTCCGCCTCCCATTGCTGGCCATGGCTCCTCTCCTTGGAGGCTGGAGATGTTCGTGCATGTGTCTGCAGCCAGTCGCTATGGCTGCTCCTCAGTTCTTCTGGAAGATGAGCTGTTGCTGGAGGGGAAGGTGTTGAAATTCCCAAAGTGGTCCCTTCTTTTTTTTTTTTTATTATTTTAGGGTTTTTTTTTTTTCCTATTTATTATGTCAACCTTTCAGGAAAGAAATTCAGAAAATGCCTTGTTAAGGGAAATAAGGCAAACCAAACTATTCTGTGCTGCCCTGTTAGTGGGGGCAAGGGGAGCCCTATCACAGTGCAGGGCAAAACCTGCAAATGTTTGTGTGTCCTGCTACTGCTCTACCCAAGGCAAAGCTCCCTGGATGTGACTGGTGGGTAATTCCCACACCCCTTCCCAGCAGCTCAGGTGGAGGTGACCAGAAGCTGAGAAGGGAATATTCAAGGAGCAGGTGGCATTTTTATCTCCTTCCTTTGTGCTACCTCGTATAGTCCAGTCTTCTGCACCCTCCTAGTAAAACCCACTTCTTGTTTCTGGACTGAAGCTAACGATGCAGCAGGACCATTTTACAGGTAGCCTGCACAGGTCTCGAGGGCTTTAGTGGCTTCCAGAAAGTCCCACACACAGCGATGGAGCTGAACCTAGAAACCCAGGGTCCGATGTGCTTGAAGATAAGAGCAGAGGTTTGCAAAGCGCCCTCCCTCGCTAATTAGCGAGAAGGAGTAATTCAGAAGCTCGGGGGCTTAACTAATGCACTGTCACCGACTGCGGTGGAAACAAGCAAAGTCCTTATGAAACCCAAGAGGTCCAGCCGGAGCTGCAAGACATTTAAAAATATCCCTGCATGCCAGAGGAGTCCCTGGATTAGTGGCGCCTTGGGAAAGCCAAGCACTTTCTCATGCTGACACCTGGAGGCCATAGCTTGTTCCTTCAGATGTGCCTGTCCCCATGGGCAGCCCTCGGCAAGGGGCATTTCGAAGCAGCCTGAAGTTGAGCTGCCTTAAAACATCGTCGAGAACCTCTCCCCCCCGCCTTTGTCAGGACCCCGAGTAATAAATGGTAGGTCTGAGGGCTGCAAGGGCTCTGCCTGCTGTCTCATTCTTCCATGTTTTATGCCCCTGCAATATCTCTGCTCTCCACCGATGCTGTAAATCCTTCAGACGTTGTTCCTGCAGCATAACACGCTGCCCTGTAAATCTTTCTCCTCCTCTCCGTGAGCTGCTGGTTCCTGGTTCAGCATTGCAGCAAGTGATACCCCAGGGTAAAGGGGCACATGTATCACCCACTAAGAGACAGCTATTCAAATACGTTGTTGTGGGCTTGCTTCCTCTCCTCCAGGACCATTACAGCTTTTTAAGGAGAGGGAATTAAAAAAAAAAAAAAAAGGACACCCCCCCACCACCACCACCTCATTTCACTTACGAAAAGTTTCTCCCTCCATTTTTCACACTTGGTCACCAGAACAGCCTGGCTGCTGGTTTGCAACTTGGGCTGATGCAGCCCGTTTCTTAAAATAACAGGGGGATTGTTTAAGGGACTTGTTATCCTCTTTGGATACTTGTGAACAATTTTGGAAATGGCTGAAACTGGATAGCCGCGGATGGCAGGCTGTCGATGCACTGGGGGTTAGAATGCCTGCATTGATTTAAAGCTCATTATCTTGTTACAAAATATCTTGGTGCAATCAAATAGTGTGTGGCGGAGATGGCTTTAAATCTGGCCAGAGCCAAATGTCACATGGACTTGCTTGGAAGCTGCCTGAGCTGCCTGTGGGCGAGATGATACCCGTGCTGATGGGCACCAGGAATTTGTGAGGCTTTCAGGGATGGAGAACGGGAGGAGTAGAGCTGAAGCTGATGGGGAGATTGATGGAGGGGGAGAAGCTGGCAAATAAACCATTCCTTCTAACTTTCTGTCAAAGCTGGTATGCATTGTGGTTGCATGGCACCGGCTTGCTGCTGAGATTTCACAACCACTCTGAATTCAGTGCTTTAAAGCTGGAGGCCTTCAAACAGGTTGTAGATCTGGGCTATCTACTGAACCGGACCACATTCAGGCTGTTTGTTGCCAACTGCAGTGTCTTAGACTCTCAGAGGAGAATTTGCACGCCCTATTCCATTGAGGACCTTCTGTTAGCACACCGGTACCTCTGCCTTTCATAGCACAAGTAGCAGTGGTGGCAAGAGGCCGATTCTACAACCCAGGAGCATGGAGGCTTGGGAGCATCTCTCTCAAGCAGTGGTATCCCTCTGACAGGCGTGTGGGCGGTCTGACCTAGGGTGTAACCTAGAAAAAGCTGAACTAGCCTACAAAAGATGAAAGCTTTTTCTAAAAAAAGAAGGCATTTTCTACCCAGAGGAGTTAAATGGTCTGCACACACATGAGTTTTTGTTGGGTGAATTAAGTAAAGAATTCTCCCACCACTCCCAATGAGAGAGTTTGCAATGCTGAAGGTGTTTCCGGGGTGCCAGAGGATGTGGTCTAACTTCAGGGAGAAAACAAAGAGGGAAAAACTCCAAATTTGGTTTGGCCACTCTTTATGGTGTCCTTGGCAAGTGTGGAGTTGAGCCTTTTGTATTTTAACCTTCCTTCCAGTGAGGGAAATGTTCCTGCTCTTTTCCAGGTGAGCAGTGGAATGGTCGGACAATTCCTACCACAGTCTGGTTTGAGTCAGCCCCCTTGGGAGGACCAAACCTCAGTCTCCCCAGCTGGATTTTCATCAGTCTTCTGCTGAAGTTCAGCCCTGTGCACCTGGGAGTGCTTTGGGAAGGCAGGCTCTGGGGATGGGCCAGGGTAGTGCCCCATAAGCTTGCTTGGACTACCATGAACCTCCCAAGGAACAGTTCCAAAAATGACCTGGCAGTGTCTCTGCATGTCCTTGGTTGACACACCAGCTTACAGATATATCCACTACTGTCACCATCTACTTGTGTTATTTTTGAGTGGGGGATTTCTTGAGTCGGATCCAAAGCTGTTCTGGAATTGCATCTCAAATATGCAGTCGTTTATGGCTTCCATAGTTGGAGAACAAGGAGCTATAAATACTGGCATGTTTGCTTTTTATTTCTGGCTTTTATTATTTGGATCAAAATCATGGGTCTCTCTGGGCCTCGGTGTACCTACTGGGGGGAGTGGATGCTGTTGCATCCCTGTCGGTGAGCATGGAGGTGTAAAAAAGGGTTGTGTGTGAAAGGTTTGAGGTATAAACTGCTTTTTGAGGCATTTGAGCGAGGTGCTGTGTTGGGTGACAGGCTGGCCACTGTGTGCTTAGCCCTCAGGTGCCTTCTGTTAGCAATTTTGTTGGACTGGAGTAGGACCCAGTAATTTTTTTTCATGGGGAGAAGGAAGAACAAGAAGTGTTCATGGTTTCTACCCCAACCATCAGACTGGAAGTCTATGATGGGTTCCTGCTACTTGGTGTCTCCTTGGTAGCAGTATTGCTGTAACATGGTGGTGATACCTTCATGGCCTGTCCAACTCTTGCTCACCTCTTTCTGTTTGCAGGCAGAGACTGTCCGCAGAGTGACAGCCACAGAGCTGGCCAGACTTCATTTGCATTCTTGAATCCTGGCTCGTGACACCTCTATCCATCGTTCCTTGCTCTTCACTGTGTCCTCTCCACCATCCATGATGCGCGTAGAGCTTGGCATGCTTTGACTTTGCTCAAACTCTTCTCACAATAGGTTTTGCCTTGATTTCCTCTTTTTTCTTTTTTAATCTTGCTTCAGCTACAATTAAATCAGTCTCCTCTCTCCTGCAGGTTTTAAGGAGACAGCCTTCTTGTATGCCATCTCCTCTGCGGGGCTGACGCACGCCATGGCCAAGGCGTGCAGCGCGGGGCGGATGGAGCGTTGCACCTGCGATGAGGCCCCCGACTTGGAGAACCGTGAGGCTTGGCAGTGGGGCGGCTGCGGCGACAACCTGAAATACAGCAACAAGTTTGTCAAGGAGTTCCTGGGGAGGAAGCCCAACAAGGACCTGCGAGCCAGGGTGGACTTCCACAATAACCTTGTGGGCATGAAGGTGTGTTGCAGACTGCTCGGGGTGGGGGTTCAAGCCGTTGTGGGGTTTGTGGGGGCAATAAGGTACTGCACTTGGGTGTGGAAACAGGAGTGTTGGATGCAAAATACGTGGAGTGATCCTTCTTCTGGAGGGGTGAAGTCTCAATTATGGGACTATGCCCTGTTTTTGTTACTGTGCTTCAAGAGTTGTGCAAAACCGTTGGAGGGAGACCAGAGGGAAAGAATCAGGATGGTCCAGGTCTGGGCAACATTGCTGGCTTTCCACAGGGAAGAGAGGGCCTTACACTGCAAAGGGATGGAAAGGCAGGTTCTCCAAGCTTACATGAGGTAGGACAAGGAGGAAGGGATTTATGCTGCTGCCAGACAGGTTGAGGGATGCTTTTCTTGCAGTAGTTCAGTAGAGCATGGATAGTGTAGCATCTCCGTAGCTAGGTTTCTTTAAAACTGGCTGGACAAACACCTGGCAGGGAACCAGGGTGGAGATATTCCTCTCTGACCTCAGTCCTAAAAGTCCCTTCAGCCTTATTTTCTGGCAGCCTTCCACTCTGCGTAGAGCTGCTGGGTTTGCAGCTCTACAGTGCTTGTGTGTGTAGTCCCTCCTTTTTTTTCTGTTGTTTTTTCTTTTCCCACCCTCTCAGCTGGAAGGCTCTCTGGTCTTTACTCCATGTTCCTCCCATGAGGCTTTACCCTCCTGCTTGGGGGCCTCCCTGCAGAACTGATGTAAGGGACAAAGCGTCTGCAATTGCTGGGTCATCTCAGCAAGAGAGGGGAAAGGAAGGGGCTTTCCACCTTCTCCCATAATCTGCTTGGCTGTACCTAGCCTAGAGTTGCTCGAACACAAAAATCCCTCAGATTGGCCAGCACAGGTGCCTAGGATCAGTGTTTCATTGCGCCAACCTCGAAGGGGGACATACTGTAAGGTTATAAATAGCCCTTGAGCCTTGTTATTGTCAGTGTGATTGGATGGAGGGTTGGGGCTGGGATGGGGGACCTGGGTCTCCAGTTTCCCAGGCAAATGCAGCCCAGCCAGTTGTGCATTCTAGGAATCGCCACCCCAGCTCAGTTGTTCCTGTGCATATGCACAAAATGTCATTCCTCGCAACAGAGTTGGGGCACTGGAGAAAGCCACCAGTGAGTGCTGGCCAGCAAACTCTCCCCCTCTCCCCACCACCAGATGCTCCTAGACAGCGCTGAGATCAGGATTAGAACTATCCTGGATTTAGCTGGTGTCTGGCTTTGGCTGACAGCTTTTCTGCCTCTGGATTAAAAGGCTCAGTGCCTCTGAACTCCTGTTTGCAGCTCTTTGGCGTGTGAAACAGGCTTTGCAGGGTGATGAAATTTGTTTTAATCCCTGTGGTTGGTTGTTCCCAAGGCCTGTCCCAACTCTTTGGACTTGGCTGTGTAGCAGATGGGACTAAAAATGGAGAAAGTGGTCCATGGAGGATGTGATTTCATGCTGGAGATAGCTGTGAGATGTCCCTACTCTCCTCCTTTTCCCAAGTCATATAAAACAGTCTTGTCAAAACCTACAAGGCTGTAGCTTTAGGTGCTGTTGACATGTTCTTGAAACTCCATGAATATCTCCCCTCCAGCAGTGGTGGGCTAAAAAACTTGCCTGAGGGACTTGGCCTAACTCGCAGTGCTCTTCAGCCCCATAGCTGCACTGGGGATGCCCATAAAGCTGAGACTCAGTCTTGGATTTAGGTTCGGTGTCCTTATTTGTAATCTCTGCTCTACACCGTCTATGTGACTTTGAGCTAAATGAACTCCAAGGACAAGCTGGAGAGAGTGAGTCTCTCCTTTCTGCCCGCCCTTTCTTGACCTGATCCCACTGTGAGTTAGTTCCCAGGGGAAGGGGAGATGTCGGGGACTCTCTTGCATCCTCTGCCTCCACTTTACTTGGCACAGTCAGGCTCTGGTCATTGGCAGTGATTTCTAAGCACTAGTGTAATATCTGCAGCTAAACAGCTGAGTAACAGTTGTGACGGTTGTCCAGACACCAAGAGCCCTCATGGCAATCCAAGTCAAAGACCTTTGCTGCAGGTCAGTGATCCGGTGTTCCTATTTTTGTCCACCCACGCCGTGTCTGTCGAGTTGGTGTTGCTGTCTGACAGCTTTCCTTGCCTATTTGCAGCAGCAGTTGAAATGACTTCTCTGTTTATGCTCCTAGAATAATTGTACCTTAATCTGGTTGAAAGGCAAGTCAAGCAGCCCACCAGATTCACAACATCACCATGAAGCCAGGCAGAGAACAAGTGAACTGCATGTTGAGAAGGAAGCTTTTAGGAGGATGGTGGTTCATGATGAGGAGAACATATGTCTATATAGTTAGGACATGTGGACCTAAACCATTGGCACAATATGGTGTTATTAAGAAGATGATGAGAGATGTTCGAGTCAGAGACGAGGACTTGGGCTGCCTTTGTAATTGCAAGGTCAAAACTTGCAAAGCTTGCTTAAGATTTCAAAATACTGAAACTGATTTGAAGCCTGAGCATTGAAATTCTTGGTGTGGTTGATGGATTGTCTTTGACATTGCTCGCACCTGGGTGTAGGTTAATACCAGGTTCAGTCTGGTGCTTTCCTCCTGGTCCCACTGCCAGTTCAGTGTTGGTGGAGGATGAGAGCTCCTCAGCAGGAAGTACTGGGTTCCTTTGCTGAATTTATCAATATTTTCCTTGATGAAGTTAGCGGGTTAAATATGGAACTCAGCATGCTTCCTCTACTTGCCTTTCTCCAAAGAAGCTGCCCATCAACTAACTGCTGCCTTACAGACTTTCCAAACGTTGACTAGCAAGAGATGCTAACCTAGTGGCTATGACAGTCTGAAACCACTTTGAACTAACCCAGTTTGGTTATTTGGGCAATAACACACATTGATTTGATTTGATGTGAATCAAAGGCAATACAGGAGTGCAGATAACCACGATTTGTTCCATTTTGGAACTGAACAATTTTGAACTGGAGGACTCGTATAACTAAGATGCTCTTATGGCCTCTGATGTGTTAAATGCTCCTGTGAGTTCCAAAAAGATGATTATGGTCATTTTCAGCAGTAGTTGAGATGCACACTGAATGCCTTTCCCAAGGTTATGCAGCAAGCTGATGATGGAGCAGGAGACTGAAGCCAGTTCTCCTGAATTCCTGCTCGGCACCTGCTGTGTTTTTTTCCTCTAACCAAACTGCAGGTTTTATGTCTATTAGTGAAGCCATACATGCATGAACCGAAACCTTTGCTGCTGTACTACAGGCTGCTTTGGACTGGGCTGAGAAGGGACAAAGAGACTTTCTTTTCCAGTATGTGGTTTTGCTACAGGAGCTTGCACATTGCAAGCCTATGTTGGCTTATTTACAGTGTATGTATGGATGTGCACGTGTGTGTTCACTGAGGGAGTGGAGGAATATCTGTTAAAGATATAGTGCAAGCTTGGTGGTCTCTTACTGATTCTTAACAACATATAATCCTTCCCATCTAATTACTCCCAACCATGGCAAAATGGATAAAAAGTCCCTTGAGACCCAGCATAAAAAGGAATTGTGCTTAATTGACTGATTTGGCAACCAACCCTATACCCTTCTGGTCAGCAGGGCAGTTTCTCCATGGTGTCACACCAGTAAATAATCTGCGTATTTCTGCAAGGGTGACATTATCCTATCCCGCCTAGTTTTAGTGTCTCTTGGTAGACGTTCTCATTTAATTTTTACTTTCTTCTGGTTTTTTTACAACCTTGATGGGCTGACTGTAATTTTGTCGCCACCAATGAAATAATCACTAAACATGTTGTGCCTGTGATGGCTCACAAAGTTATATGATATGACCTCAATCGCTAATGAAAGGGCGAGCTTGTCTAGCGTGAGGATGAGGTAATTAGACCAGGACTTCTCCAGCCTTCTCTTTATTGAAAAGTAGGAGCTCTGAATAGACCACTTATTAAAAAAGCAATTTCCCTTCCTTTGCCAAATCTACTCTCGCTCATTCAGCTATTCTTTCAGAGGGGTCTTGGGTGGAGAGGGTGTGTGTTGGGGGGAGATGTGTGTATGTGTCAAGGGGATGGGGGGCGGTGGTGGTGAGAGAAGTCAACTGTATTAAAGCTCCATTGCCAGCAATGAAGTTTCTTGGTTATATTAAATGAAGCACAGGCAGCCTTGCTAAAGCTCTCTTCTATATATCCTCCCCCCTTTTTTCCCCCCTTGTACACACAAGTGCAGCCCTCTTTTGTAACCCATTAATGAAAAGTCGGAATATTAGAGCACTCAATTAGTTCCACTGGGCTTGAGTAAGTGATGTTTTAATTAAATTTGCCCAGTTTCTCAGCAAAGTATCATTAAACATGACTTTCCAACTCCCTCTCTGGAGCGTTGCTAAGTTTCTTAATCCCAGGAGTGCTGACCTCTTCCAGAGGTATGTCTGGTCAAGCATGTCTTACAGATCCAAGGGGCACTATTAAAGGGGGCTGCTGTTACCCAAGAAAAAAAAAAGTTTGTCATGTTCTCATTCCCATTTCCCTTTATCCTACCAGAAGGAGGGACACAAGCAAGTCTTTGCCTTCAGGACACTGAAGTCAGGAGTAAACCACCGTCTCCTTGAGAGCCAAGAGTGTTTAGTGCAAAACTATGGGAGGGCAGAGATGGAGAACAAGAAAATTCTTCCCTCCTGAATGGTCTCTTTTCAGGCAATATCCCCCTTTGAAACTGGTTCCCTTCATGAGGCTTCCTTAATTGTTTTCACACAATATTAACCCATGTGTTTCGGTCTGCGTAGACTATATGCGCGTTTCTGAAGGATCCGTGGTACCCTTGTTGCTGTAGGGTTCAGGTCCAGACCCATCCTGAGACATGTTATGCCTGCATCTCTGAAACCACATGGGATGCTCTGGAGAGGACAGTGGGAGGTGCATGGACTTTTCCTTGCTGTTGACTTGCTTGTTTTGGAAGTCCATGCAAGGAATGGCTTTTCCCCTTAGGCGGTGCTGGCAGGGATCTATCTCAAGCACTGAGCGT